ACTTCACACCTTTGTGCACTCAGACAGATGTTGGCTTCTGCGGGAGTTAGTTTTAGTTTTAGCAGACATTATATTTTGAGACGTCAGAATATTCTAGCCATCACAATTAAAACGCATATCCAGTGTTTGCACCATTTTGCAGACAAAATAGCCTTCTTTTGTCTGTCTGTATGTCTAGAACAAATGTAAATTACTTGCAAGTTACAGCATGATATGAAGCTCATTTTCATTTCATTGGATGATTATTGTTATTGTATGCTGATTCATACATTAAAGAGATAATTAAATATTTAGCATATTTGTTGACTTTAAAGGAAAAGTGGCTTGGAAATGTCTGCCATCAGAAATGATGATAAAGAGGCATTTCATATTGTTATTAAAGAATGAATCAACACTGGTTGGACTCAAATCCATACATACCTGTTGATCAATGTACCTTAAAATGTATTTTAAGGCTCATTACAGCTTTTTTTAAATGCTAGAAACAGGTGTCCTATTTGGAAACATATTGACACCATTGGAAAGGTGTCTTTTTTAACTCTGTGCCAGCATATGCAATAGATGGCCCATATTTCAATCCCCTATTTTAATACATTTGGTTTATTCTAACCTTTAATTAAAGCTGCAGTCCGTAAATTTTGCCTCTTTGTCGCCATCTCTGTTTGAAAACCTGGAATTGCAGCAGTGTGCGGAATTATCTAGCTTGCGTGGTTTGTGAGTCGGACTCGGCACGGCTCCAGCGCGGATGAATCTAATGTTTTGAGGAGTATTGTGTGTGTGGCAGTCAGTCACCATACCGGTGTGGAATGGATATTCACTGTACTTCGCAATCACAGATTCTAGCCTACGTCTTGGAATATGACCCAAATAATAATTTTCACCATATATTGCCATCTGAACAAGTAAGTAACAAGTCTGCCACGTTTGTTCTGACCAACTGAGGAAAAAAGCATTACCATAAATCTCGCTACCAATGGTGATTAAATCTAAAGATCGGTTAGCTCATATCACATCAAACCGTTCAAATTATTATTATTGTTTTACTTTATTCTCAAATGATTAGTTAACAACATCTGCATTGGTGACTATGAGTATAGTGTGTATTCGCGTGTAGATTTCAATTTCTGCACAGTCTAATCTAATTGTCATACTCTTCGAATTTCATATTAAGAAATTATTTTAACCCAAAAAGCAAATTATGCTCCCTTCGAACTGGTTTTCTTTAAAAAAACAAATCTTTGTAATCCCAGGCTATCTGTAATCAGAAGCACATTTATAACTGGAATATAATTTAATTTCATTCACATGTGTTTCATAAACACATAATCCTTTATGGATTACAATCCGCCATCAAAATGATACATTTAATTATTCTGGCTGCTGTGAGAAAAGGCTATAAACGATCGGCCACCTGCAGGATCCTCACATGCGGTAGCCTAGTAGCCGGGACAACTTCTTTATGTTTACAGACGTGACGTAATGACGCAGTGCCATGCTAAACCTACCCGTACCACTCGAATTAGAAAACATTATTATAAACTAACCATTGTGAATCGGGCTAAAGTAAGGCGATAGTTTTGAACACTGGCTGGTTATGTACTTGCTCAAATATTGATTTCGGATCATTTTTAACCAAAAACATTACGGACTGCAGCTTTAATTATTTAAAGTTTTATTTTAATAAAAAGTCCCCCATGAATAGCTTGCACCAATTGTACCCAATGGCAGAGCTTGGCAGCTGGCCTGTTTGGAGACTGTCTGCGCCCTCAGGTCAATAGGGGTTCATATATGCTTCTGCAATGGAGCAAGTGGAGACTTGCATTATATGGTGGCCAAAGGGCCATTTTTGAGGCTCCAGGGCCATCTCTACACCAGTTTAAATGGTATAGTCCAGTTTGAACACCCCTCCATATTGAGCTAAATTGGAAGAGCCTCTTTTGCAGCGTTTGCTGGGAAGAAGTACAGTCGGGATTGGGACTTTGGAGAGGAGGTAACAATCTAAAGAGGTAAGAGGAGCTGTGTTCTCCAATGGCCAGGCCACTAATGGGTGGATGGGCTCATTGGGATGTACATTGGCCTGATGCATGCCAATATATGGATTTTTACAGGTCTTGGCATTGTGTCTGTATAGGGTGAGAAGGAAATATGGAGGGAGCTGCTAGGGGGAGCTATAGCAGGGCAGACAGCAGCTGGCTGAAGTGAGCTACTCCAAATGGGCTTCAGACTCTTTAAAATACTCACATTGGTTGGGAAAACAAAGGAAGATGTTGTATTGTTGTGCTTTGGCTTGATAAAGATGGTCTGCAATTATTGGGTCTTGATCCCTTGGCTGCCTGTCCAAGGGAAGTGGCCAATTTGACAAGCAGGCAATGCTGTAGAAAAGAAAGAGAGGAAACATTTTAATGATGGTCCCTGATAAATAATGATAAATGATCAAATGTGCTATAAGCATGTAAATCATAAATATTGTTGTGTATTTATGTGATTTTGCAAGATTATTTTGACAAATTAGCTTAATAATGCAAAAAAAAAATTTGCATTAATAATGTGATCCTCCAAGCTCTCAGTACAATCCTATCATAGCCAACAGTTCGGGTTTTAACCCTGAAAGGCAGCTGCATTATACAGTAGCTACTATCACATCACAAGGCGTAATTGTTCTGTGAAGTTTAATTCACGCCCTCTTATCTCATAAATTAGAACTACTACAATTTTTTGTCCCATGCGCAAGTGTACATGTTAAACTTCCCTGATTGAGGATAATTGTTCAAGTAAGTGCATGAATTTGACAAAGCTTCATACAGCAGTCTCAATGAAAGTCAAAAGTGACGTGACATGTGGCCAAGTATGGTGACCCATACTCGGAATTAGTGCACACACACAGCAGTGAACACACACACACCGTGAACACACACCCGGAGCAGTGGGCAGCCATTTTTTGCTGCGGCGCCCGGGGAGCAGTTGGGGGTTCGGTGCCTTGCTCAAGGGCACCTCAGTCGTGGTATTGAAGGTGGGAGAGAGCGCTGTACATTCACTCCCCCCACCTACAATCCCTACAAACCTTTGGGTTACGAGTCCGACTCTCTAACCATTAGGCCATGACTTCCCAATGCTGGCCTGTTAAAAAAAAAGAAGTGTTTTTTAAGTTTTAACATAAATGATCTTCTGTAGAATTATGCCATAATATTCCTGTGAAGTCATATTACTTATTGAGCCATAATGTACATTGACATTAAAAAAACATTGATAACGTGTGGATGTGTCACTATATTTCACTGCTTTAAGAAGTTGTAGTTTAGATATTCACTTGCCATGCGAACACTTGACATTCTCACCTCCAAAAAAAATTATTATTTTTTTTTTTAAATTGCATTTTATAACTGTTTATGCTTCTGCAGAGTTGTAATGCCATAATATAGGCTTTTGAAAAGTCATATCTTTACTGAGCCATGAAGTGATATGAAAAACTTGTAGAACCTGTAGAATCGATGCTATATTTTAGTAGCGGAGCACAGATTTAGTTTTCTTGCCATATTCTTGCCATTTTCACTGACCCGTCCCGTATTTATGTTTTTACATGTCACAAAATATGATCTTTTCCAGTAAATGTTTTTCAGTATCAGTAGAACTCTTTCACTTTGTCACTCACAGTCAGTCACAGTTGTTGTTTTTTCTTTCAAAAAATGGGGCTTCCAGTATTACTAATATATTTTTGATGCCATACTGTGTAGCTTCTAATTATGCCATAATATTCAGATGAAAAGTCATATAATTCAATAAGCCATAATGTACTTTGACATAAAAAAAAAACAACTGATAATTTGTTGACGTGTCACTGTTTAAACCTAACAGGGTTTCGCAGTAAGGCACTACCAAAAAGAAAATAAAAAAAATAAAAATAAAAAAAATAAATACACACCTTGTCTGGAAAATGATAGAATACTTACTGTGTGAAACATCTGATAACATCGTAACTGATACTACCAAGATTCTCACTAATCATTCTTAGAATTTCAGCAGATAACTGGCCCAAAACTTTCTAAATATGCTTTGCGAAACGTCTTTGACTTCACTAAAAGTTCTTTCCTTTTTCCCCCCCTCTATTCTGCCAGGAACTTGGAAAGAAAAGAAAACAAGATCTCCATTTGGGACGTCCAGTTTTTCTCACTGCAACGTAAGAGCTCATTTTCCTGTCTTAACTGTTAGAGAAGACACCCATTCTCTGTTAAACGAAGTGAAAATGTGACCTTTTCCTCCATACAGTGCACATTATTTTATTAACTGTTGAAAGAAATCTCCCGGCACTCTATTTACAAAACGAACCCACACAAAGCCCAGCTCACACCACGCATCTGTCATGAACTTGGCTCTTACAGCTGTTTAAATGGCAGCTGACATGCACAGTTGCCCGACAGCCTCTTTTTTCACACTATGTTCATCTTTTGTTTATGATTTAGTGGGTTATACTCACTTAACCAGAAAAGCCACAACAAGACATACCTGCTTCCTACATTTTTACACACTCACTGCCTCATTCATGAAGCACGAGTGGAATGAATAAAATCTTCTTATGTAATTGTTGCGTTTAATTGACAGTAAGACTAGTTTTACAATCTATACACAGTGTGTTTGATATCTGAGGACTATAAACTGTTTTTCCACATACACATACTATATTGTTTGACTCATGCATTAATATTAGACTAGTCAAACTCACAATTTCCTCTTTTTTTTTTTTTAAACAGACAAACTAAATGTTTTCTAATTTACTCATCTGCTCCCCCTAGTTATTCATTCTTGTCTACAGGATGCACAACTGAACTTGGCAGAACGCATTGCAGCCATTTTCCATGCAGGGTGTGTATGTTCATCAGAAAGGGGATTGCGGAAAAGCTGCATACTTTTTTCTCCTTCTAAACCAATCAGCATTGCTGTGGTATGAGTCACTCCCACACCCTACCCTTATATGACAAAGAGGGGGAGGGGCTGTTTCTCAGATCGGACAGTGAAATGGTGGCTGCTTGTACAAAAACAGCAGCAGCACCATTAGCAACTGAGCAGCTACAGACGCATTTACAGGTAAGATCCATAGCTTAGAACATTCTCCTGCTTCTCGATTGTGCTAAACATGCATCCTGTGACATAAATATAGAAAATTTATGCTGCTTCATGTAACTGAACATTGCTGTTCGTCTAACCCTCTTGAGCTAATTGCTAATTGTTAGCCTGTTTACAAGCCATCCTGTCATTCATTCAGTGTAGAAACCTATTTTACCAAACCGACAAAGATAAACTAAATGTTATAGAACAAATACTTTGTTGCATTTAGAAAATATTTTCATTTATAGCAAGGAAAACTTGAGTAAAGCCTCAAGTATGACATCATTCATTGTGCCATGTGGTTTAATAGGTATGTCAAGCCCAACATGATTATCAACTGCATTGTTTTAGTTGTAGAATTACTAGTTTTGTTTGTTTTACTGAGCAAACTGGTTTTTGTTTACTATTAAATAATCCGTCATTTTGTGTTTATTTGAGTCAATACTTCCATTCTGAAAACACACAAATCTGTAAATAAAATGAAATGCTGTATATAGGTTTAGATATTTTACAGTATACTAAATAACTTTGTTCCTAGTATGAAAGTTCATATTTTTGTTACCTATTGGGAAAAAAAGATACAGTTGAATACTACTGCTCCGGACACCACAGATTCAGAACTGGACAGCAACCTTTTACAGTCAAAGAAAGAGAAAATATAGTCCTATTAGAAAACCTACAGCTGTCTTTTAAGGTAGAATCTAATGGTCATTGAACCTCACGAGTAACACTGTACATAGGCTACCCAAATAAAAGCACAAGAGACTTGACTCACAATTGATTCCAATAGTTAATAGTTAACCAGCTAACAGTATGTTACTCTAATATGTATAAAAAATACAAAATGCCCACAAATATTAAGTAAAATAGTCAATTTTTATTTGCACTGAGCTATTTTATAATTCCGTACTGAATGAAATGAAAGTTTACATTCCACAATGCATTTCTCTTTTGACACTACAAGTCAAAAATAGCAAATTGTGGAATTGCCCTCTCTATAATGTCTACACACTATGCTGAAGGCTACAGCTTTCAAAGCAAATTTTACAATTTTTTCCAAAGTGAATAAAGATTACTGGAATATGTTTCACAAGAAAATACGATTTCAGTCCTTCAACTTCAAAATGTAAAGTTTAATTGTTTAATGTTGTCATTTCTTTGTAATTATTTGTGAAATTTCGAAAGGAACATTGTTTCAAAGCCATTTTTTTGGTGTATAACTAAAATCAAATGTCCAAGGAAGCATGCCAGTTTCAAACTTGAATGTTGTTCAGGACAGAAGTGTTTGAGTATCATTATGGTCTGTGCTGTTTTCATAAGATTCATTAAGAACATGTCGTCTTCTCATTTCAGTATCAGCCAAGACTGAAAGCCTAGAAGAACCAAAGTCCAAGATTCAGACCCATCTATGGCAGAAAAACAGCAGATCAAAGTGACTGCGGTCAAAGTGCTGTGCTATGTGGAGAAAATCTCCTCCTTCGCCTCAAACATAGATCCTCTCTTTGGGATTGTGACTTCAGTGGTCGGGGTGGTCAGGAAAGGCCTCGTAGATGAGGAGGACCATGAGATGGACAAGGACTTCAAACAGATCCATGAGAAGCTGGAAACCATCTCGGAGAAGAACAAGCAGACCCTGCGGCAGATCCGCATCAACGAAATCAACGAGAATTATGGTAAACACGAGGAAGTCATCAAGCATCAGTACAACGCTTTCATCACCATGGTGCAAAGAGTAAAACTGGACCCTGAGAACTCGGATCGTTACATGGAGGAGTTTGTGAAGATCTACGAGAAGGATGAGATGGACATGAGCTTAGATTTGTATTACCGTGGTGTGAAAGGTTCCGCTTTGTTTGGGAGGCCCATCCTGCAGGTTTACCTGGAGAACTGCCAAAGAAACAAAAAGGTGATGGAGGCTCGCTGCTCTCACATCGCCCACCTGTTCTACATCGGTCTAATGGCACTGATGGCCTACTACACCGTCAGTGAAGATGACGAGGATGAAGTGAGAGAAAAATGGGCCCCGAGGGTCATTGAAATTCAAGCCAAGATGCAAGAAGTCCTGGACCAATGCACTGAGGAAAACTGAAGTGGGAACATTTCACTGAACGATTGCGGAGACAATCCACTTCATATGCTGAAAGTTTAAGGGTCGTGAGTAATCTTGAATTAGGAAGTTTAAATAAATCGTGTGGGGTGTAAAATGGGTGAATCTTTTCCTGCTTGCCAATGGACTTTTCAATGCAATACTAAAGTAGTGCAAAGTTCTTAACACTGTATATCGCAGTTAAAACAAATTTTTTTTAAGTATATTAAGCATGTTTTGGTCATTACTGCGACTGAGTATTTTGTAAAAGAAAAAATCCAATATCATATGAGCCTTTGATGTGAGTTACATGTTATTATGAATTATTATATAATTGTTTGCTTATGTTTTGTGCAATATCTCCGATTCTTTGAACAATAAATGAATCTATTTTTTCTCTCATATCATGGCAGTTAGTCTCTTTATTTGTCATTTTATATGACCCAATGTGATTTCTGTCAAGTCAGTTCAGGATGTGAACACACTAAAGACTTTGACTGCAGAATGCAGGTGAATATGGAAATTGCATTGATTTGCATTAAATGCAAACTTGTCAATGTTTCAGAGGCAGAGTGCTGTGGTTAATCAATCTCATCTGAAAAATATATATAAAAAAATATATTCCAGGTTCAGTACTAGTTAGCAGCATTTATGGCATAAAGCTGATTACAATTTCCAATTCTTTCTTTCTGGGTTATATTGAGGCATTTACTGTACAATGGAAGTGAATGAGGCCAATCCTTAAACATTTATACTTCCAAAAAGTTTCAAAAGTGTAGCCGCAAGACTTAACAACATGCATGTTAGCATGCTTTTAGTGTGAAAAATCACTTACCTAGACGTCTACATGAAGCATTCGCAGGGTGACCAGTGCGTCATGGAAAACCTCTGCACTCGACTCGCGTACCTGTTCTGCATCGGTTTGATCGCTCTGATGGGCTACTACGGCATCCTGGGGGATGATTTGGAATCTCAAAATGAAGAGTGGGAAGAGAATATGAGGAATGTGCAGGAGGTGCTGAGGAGATGCAAATGATCGTGAAACCTTTCTGCACAACCACGCTCTTTATTGTCTTCGTGCTTCGCCTTTTTCTCTTACTTTAGTAGACTTCATCGACCTGCAGCATCTAATGCAGCATTATCTTCCTGATGACCGCAGGTCATTTCCTGCATGTAATCTAGTTCTTGTTTTTTAATCACACAATCACATTTCTTCATGCCTTGCCTCAGTTTAACACTACATGACCAAGATATTTCACACTAATCTACAGAATGCTGGCTGTGGTTATATAAATATTATTAAAGTTCATATGCATTCATAAGCAGTGTCATCTTGAAAATTGTTTTAAAAAGCTTCAAGACTACATGATGAACAACTTGTTTCCTGAATAAATACAAAGTATATACAGTTATAAAATGTTCTATAAAATATAATTTAAAGAATCTATCATCTATCTATCTATCTATAAACATTGCAAAATAAAGAGCATATAATTTACTATCTGTGCATACTAAGATCGAAATTTCTCTCTGAAATGTTCATGTTTATGCATCTTTTCGGCAGACAGATTTTAGTGTGCATTTAATTGTATCCTGTCTGTGTGTCTTATTTTTTTTTTTAGTGCCATTAGAACAGATTATCAGAGCATATATTTTAATATGAGAGGTGACATTTAAACTGAAGGTTATTTTTTGCATTTCTTTGACCCTTTTGTTTTGGCTAAATTAAAAGATTATACTTGATGTACAGTGCTGCACATTTAGTCTGACATGGCTGAAGTTCATCAAGATAATCGTGTTTGTTTCACATTTGTTTATCCATAAAGCACTGCAATATACATAAATGTAACTAAATTATGTGTTTTGAATGTCTCATGGATTGGAACACATTACCTTTCTAATCATTATTAAAATACTTTTTTTAACTCTTTGGAATGCTGATGCACTTATAACGCTGTACAATATTGTTAAATTTTTCAATAAAGATATAAGGAATGAAAATAACTATTACAAGTTGTTTTGACTTAAAAGAGACATATTATGCCCCTTTTTACAATTTCATCGACCTGCAGCTTTATCTCCCCGATGACCGCAGATCATGCTGAAGTGTACACAGTCATTTCCTGTGATCTAGTTCTTTTCATTTCTTTTTATCACACAATCACATTCCTTCATGCCTTGCCTCAGTTTAACACTACATGTACAAGATATGTCACACTAATCTAAAGAATGCTGGTTGTGGTTATATAAATATTATTAAAGCTCATAAGCAGTGTCACCTTGAAAATTGACTTCATGATGAACAACTTGTTTCCTGAATAAATACATAGTATATACAAATGTATTCTATAAAATACATATATAATTTAAAGAAACTATGTATCTATCTATATATTCATAAATGTTGCAAAATAAAGAGCATACAATTTACTGTCTGTGCAAACCAAGATCAAAATTTCGATCTGAAACGTTCATGTTTATGCATCTTTTTGGCACATTAGTAATAGATTTAAGTGTGCATTTAATTGTATCCTGTGTTTTTTTGTGCCATTAGAACACATATACTGTGTGTTTGTTCATCCATAATCACATTTGTTTATCCATAAAGCACTGCAATATACATAAATGTAACTAAATTATGTGTTTTGAATGTCTCATGGATTGGAACACATTACCTTTCTAATCATTATTAAAATACTTTTTTTAACTCTTTGGAATGCTGATGCACTTATAACGCTGTACAATATTGTTAAATTTTTCAATAAAGATATAAGGAATGAAAATAACTATTACAAGTTGTTTTGACTTAAAAGAGACATATTATGCCCCTTTTTACAATATGTAATATAAGTCTCAGGTGTCCCCAGAATGTATCTGTGAAGTCTCAGCTCAAAATGTCCCACAGATCATTTATTATATCATTTTGAAAATGCCTATTTTGAGTGGAAGCAGAAACGGGCTGTTTTCGTGTGTTGTCTTTTTAAATGCAAATGAGCTGCTGCTCCCCGCCCCCTTTTCCAGA